ACAAGTTCCTCCGCAAGTACCCAGACGCAACTGACAGTGATCGGAGACGGCCTTTGCAGTTCATCGAGACAGTGGGCTTGGAATGCGCCATGTGGCCGTCTCTTTACTGGTGCACGGAAATGTGCGAGACAACCGAGCGTGCCACTGACTCCCGGCGCGTTGCCGCCGCGGCAGTCAGCGCCGGAAACGCAGCCCTCAGCAATGACGAGAATGAGGAGCAGGCGGAGGAGGGCTCCGGCCGCCATAGCGTCAAGCGCAGCTTCATGCGGAAGGTCTTCAGCCCCGTCATCGGCTACGGCCACGATTTCGAGTTGCTGCAGTTTGTGTACGACTTGACGATGTGGTCTCGCATTGGCGGGGGGAAGAGCGCCTGCGCGGGACTGCCACTGCGCCTGGTCCTGAAAGGCGAAACCTTCTCGCCACTATACTGGAAGAGCAAGCACCAAGCCCTCCTCGACATGCAACGCCAGTGTGGCTACCCATCCCTCTTCAAAACGATGGCGCCGTGGGAGTACAGCTTCCCCTACCACTTCTTCGTCCTGGACGAGATGGAGAAGGGCGGCCGGGGCAGGATGCAGCTGGCTGGCTTGGAGACGCTGCACACAGCCCACGTCTTCACGGAGCTCAATCGCGGCCTCTACTCCGGGCGCAACAAGACCTCGGCGCAGGATGGCTGGAAGGACCACATCCTCTCCGCCGACTCCGTGCCGGAGGAGCGGCGTCCCCAGACCGTGGTCAATTACTTCCAACGCCTCGAATTCCAATGGGAAGCGCAAGCTGCCCACCCAGGATTATCATGGGAGCGGCCACAGTCTCGACTACATCGAGAACGTGGGCCAGGTTGGGCTGGAGCGCAAGTTGGCCGCCACAGTTCCCGACGCCGAGGAGCAGCCCATGCTGCGGGGCTACATGTTACGCAGGCCGCACGGTCGCAAAAAATTTTTGGAACGGTTGGGGCCCACCCCGAGCGCGAAAAATGCTAAGACGGTCGTTAACTACGAGCAGAATTTTGAGGACGCTCCACGCGCTGGCGCTTCAACACGCCGCAAATACCGAGATGGTCACTGATTTCAAGCAGAATTCTGACGCGCCAGCGCTCCAACGCACCAAAAAAAAAATCGTCCATTCCAAGATTCTGAAGCCACCCCATAGCTCCCACCCGCCCATCACATGCGCCAGAGCTCCCACCCGCCCAGCACGTTGAGAATGGAGAAGGTCGTCGATTTCGAGCAGCAGAATTCAGAGGACCCTCCAGCGCGCCACTAACAGCGAGAAGGTCGTCGATTCCAAGCCGAATTGTGAGGCTGCCCCACGCGACAGCGCTCCAACCCACCCAAAACTTGCAGACGCTAGTTGATTTCAAGCAGAACTGCGTGCCAACCCGCCCAAAATCCCGGAGAGGTCGTTGATTTCGAGCAGAATTCTTAGGACAATCCACACGTCAGCGCTCTGACTCGCAAAAAATGTTGAGAGAGTTGTCGATTGCCGGTTAATTCTGAAGA